CAGGGCTTGTGGAAGGCAATGGACCAAGACATGCCAGCAGCTGAGGGCCAGTCCTTGCTGAGGCGTAGAATCGACAAAGATTTGCCCCACCCAGTGACCCAGAACTGCAAATCAGGTCTGGGGCGATAAGCGTCCAGGAATTTATGATCTTCATGCGGCGGCTGGAGGTTGACATGGGGGGAAGCCCTGAAGCCAACAAACGGTGTGAGAGTGGCAATGCAGCTTGGGATTGACAGACGTGCCCGAAGGTCCGCCGTGGCTTCGCGAGATGGCGGCCGCAGGTAATGCAAGGTACGGTGTGTTGATCATGCGTGTGTTGATCATGCGTGCTGCATGGCAATGTGTTGAAACACACTTGCACGGCCAGGCACACCAGTGGCCAAGGCAGCCGTAGCGGCCGAAGTGGCCGCGCGCGCGAAGGCATTTCTACATCAAAACTTAAGAACCTTTCTGGCCAAGTGGCACATGCGTGCGGCAGGCACCGGGCGAACATCTTTCGGAAGCGCAGCTCTGCGCTTTGAAGGCCGCGGCCCTTCTTAGACAAGCAGTCCCCCACAAGTCAAGCTCACAGATGCTCTGCGCATCCTGCAAGGATTGCTTCAAAGCTCTGAAACTAGAGGACCACAAGGTTCATGAAGCTTGTCAGGTGGCTGACGTTCAGGGCTTCTTCACTGTTTATGCTGTTAGTCGCACCTATGCATACTCCGCGTGCTGACGGATTGCAATCGCAAGAGCAATGGATGCTGCTTCGAATCAGCTCAGTGCTCCGTGGAGGGCTGCCAAAGTTCGGGAATTCAACATGCGTGGCGTGAGGACCTGCGCCGTGCCTTCGAGCAGTGGGGATGGCCAGTTGCTCAGCCAACCTGCTTCGGCACCTTGCGTTTCGTCACATGTTGGGGTCACGTCTCGGACATCTCGAACAAGGCCGTGGAGAGGATTGATCACGGAGTGGGACTTGTACTCAGCGGCTCATGATCCTTTGGCGGGTCTTTTCGCATGCTTACTAGCTGCTAGCTTGTCAGTGCAAGGAGTGGCCCCGACTTGTGAGGGAGCTCCTTCAGGTCCCCGAGGCCGAAATCTCAGCAGCCCAGCAGCCAGTCCATGTTTCAATGGCGGGGTGTGCAGAAGGACGAGCTCAGCGACGATGGCCTGTTCACTGCCGGCGGCCTTCGATTTGTTGCAATCTGCATGGCAAGTGCCCTGAGCTCTGGGTAAGAGACCGGATCCGGTCTGAGGCATGGTCGAAGATCGACACGCAGAGTGCGGGCGAAATCGATGCGGTGGCCTTGTTCTGCTGACGCGAAGTTGATTGCTGCAACCATGGGACCATTGAAATAGTGTTGCTGAAGGAGTTCTCCTTATATACTCGTAGTGAGAAACGACCAGTCCGAGGCCAACGTTCTGATAGAGGCCCAGCCGGATGACGTGGCCAAAGATGACCACGCCGACGAAAGCAGTCAAGTAGCTGAGGGGACATGACAGCTTTGGAGATTGAGGCAATGCCTTCAGGTTTCCATCCAGTACAAGCAAAATCAAGCGAAGCGAGCTCATCCTCCTCAGATTGTCCGAAGGAGTCATCATTAGGTTTTGCTGCTCGACCGCATGCATTGTTGTGTGGCACCTTGCCCTTCCAAACATGACCGAAGCTTCACACGTGTCACATGCTGTCCCCCAGCATATTCCTAATTCCACTGTCTGTGAGAGTGTCTGAAGATATCTGAAGCAAACAATGGCGACCCTTCTTCAAGCAGAAAGTCCGACAAGGGCGCTGCAGGTTCGGCCAATCTACTGGTCCAATTTGTGGGTTTCACCGTTCGAAAATCATCTCATATCATCTCTCATCCCTGAAGGGGCCAGAGAGCACTAGCTAGGGCAGCGCGCCCATGGCCGCAAGATATCGCAAGGGCCGGACGCTTTATCTGGCCCGAGATGTGACCTCTTGCAGAAGCTGCCGCAAACCCGCCTCAGTATAGACTCCGTCCGTTCCGTGGGGTGTGTGCACAGTGGTCGCAGTGAAAATGCCGGACTTCAAAACCGGAAGTGCAGTGGTGAATGATGTTGTCGAGCCCGCATCGCGGAGCAGAAATTCAAGCAAGACATGAGCTGGCTCAAGCTCGCGGTTCCCCGCAACAAAGGATTTCCATGCAGTCTTCCGCCAAAGTCTCAGCTACCACTGAAACTCACAGTTCAAATGTACTTGAGACCTGGAAGCTTGCAGCAGGCTGGCATGGCCAGATGACAGCGCCGGCTCCAAGTCCGAGGTCTGCGGCGTTTTGCGTGTGCCAATGCCAAGCCTTCTCAACTCAGCCTGAAGTCAAAGGGCCTATCCTTCCAGTGCGACTAGGACTGATTGGTCTCATGGAACAGGAGCCCGAGATGTAATTCGAGTGCCGCAGCTACGGGCACAAGAAAGATTGCGCTTCTCAGTCGAGTCAACATGCCATCTGATTTGAACTGACCTGAAAGCGATTACCACATCGGAACTCTTGAGAAGCCGGGAGTCTCATCACCTCTAGGCCGAATCTAGGCAGTCGCCTCCTTGAGGCGGCGACTTGCGCATCTTCTTGTGGGTGTTTCATGCAAGCTTGGCTATGTCGGACCCCATCGATGTGGACGAAAAGGGAGCACCCGAAGGCGGCATGCTTCCCGAGATGCACAGCGTGCACTCAGGAAAAGCTACTTGGAGCGCTTCAGCACATGACGTGTCCTTGCACTGCACTCACCGCACTCACCGCACTTGCATTTTTGTCCTTGCCGCCGGCGGCCCGGCCGAGGTGGTCTCTATTCGTCCTTTCGGCGCTTTCGTTCGAATTGCTTCAGGTGCCTCGCTTACGTTTGGAGCTTTGTCCACGTGGGGTTTGACGATTGCTGTTTCCAGGTGAAGCATACAAGGCCTGCGCCTTTGATGCTGCAATCGGCAGCAAGTTCTGCCTGCAGCTTCCCGCTCCACTGCCAGTAGTAGTTAGAAGTCCAGATATGTTGCAGGACGGCCTGGTGCACATCTCCTGCATTGCTGCAGGGCGCGTAAAGGACGTAGCTGAGCACTTGGATGTTGGTGAGAAAGTCTGGGTGAAGGTGATGGGCTCGGGAAGTCTTAAGAACATTTGGCGCCGGCTTCAAATTTCCGATTTGTTCCGGGGATGCTGCATCCTTGCCGTTGTTGGTCCCAGGTGGCAAATATCAACCAGGAGGAAGGAAAGCTTGGACTGGACATGAGACACTGGAAAGCAAATCAAGCACTAAAGACGGGAACGTAGGCCGTGTGCATTTCTGAAGTCGAGCAGCGTGCGGGTAACAAAGCAGATTTTCGAAGGAAATGCGCTCAGCGAAGAGAATCGTTGCTAAACCTGCATGCCCCAGGATATGTGAACCAGGAAACCGGGGAGGACCTTGATCCACGACATAAAGAAGGACGCTTCCCGAAGGGGGGAGGCAAGCCAAAGCGTCAGAGCACCGAGGCCCGATGTGGGATGCTTGAGATATGCTCGAGAAGCCAGGTTCAAGTCTTGGGGAGGTTTGGGTCAGATTGGTTGCCCGAAGCTCCTTGCGTCCCTGGTTGGCACAGGACATGGTGAAAGATGCAAAGACCATGATGGACGAGATCAAAAAGATGAAAAAAGAGACGAAGCTAAAGAAAAAGTTCTTCAAGAAAGAAGCGAAAAAAGCGTGCACATCTCAGCCATGATTACTCCCGTCGTGTGAACTGGCTGTTTGCAGATCAAGTCCTGGTATGCATGGCATAGTCAGGAAGAAGTTGAAGAAGCTGCAGAAAAAAGAGAACCCGGTCAAGGAGGTCAAGACAGCAAAATCGGAGAGCAGTAGCTCCTCGTCCTCCTCTTCATCTTCCAGCTCCCTGTCGGAAGGAACTCAAGCACGTTTGCGGAAGGACCGCTTGATCCCTGCTTTTTTGTTACTGTGGGTTCATGCTTGTGCTCAGTGCCAGGTCAAGTTCTGGAACTGGCTTCTGATTGCAGTGCAGGAATACGGGCTGCCCAAGACTGCTGTCAAGGCAGAGAAGAAGGAAGGCAAGAATGGGAAGGATAACACCGGAAGGACTGCCAGCCACAGTGACGAGCAGTCGGCTTGAATCATCTGAGTCTGGCTGTCTGGCTACCTGCATTTCCGAGGGCTGTGACCTCATTGGGAAGATGATAGGAAGTGTAGCGGAAAGGATGCGCATTGCGATTCACAGGATTGTCTTGCGAGAAGCTGAAGAAGTTGGCCGTGAAAGCAAACGCGTAAAGGAGCGAAGCAAAGGAAAGTCTGCACAGACTGCACGGCCCAGCCCTGCACAGAAGGACCGAAGTGTGCCAAATGGTGAGCGAGGCAAGGAGCGCGGTCACGGACGTGGACGTGGAGATGATGGAGAGCGAGACGAGAGACCTAGGTCCAGGCGACGGAGAGAGCGCAACGACAGCCGGGCTCGGAGGCGAGCAAGTGACTCCCGCCAGGCATCTCGGTCTCGGAGCCACAGGCGAGACAGGCGGAGGCGTCCCCTGCATCCCCCGGCCCGGCACCGGAACGACAGCCGAGACAGTCGTGACAGAAGACGGGATTCTCGTGACTCGAGACCGCCAAGTCCAGAAGCTGAGAAGGAAAAGAAAGACGAAACGCAAAAGCAGGACCCTGCAGAGCGCGAGAGGTGCGGCAATGCTCATGCCTACAGGCAGGTAAGCTGAGGCTACAGGTGCATGATGTGCATGGTAGTCTTGGCTCGATAACGGTGTAGACTTTCGAGTTTTTTGGGACTGCCTGACAAGGGCTCGCCTGTACGCCAGCGGAGCGGCAAGCGACATAGAGGCGGAAGCAGGGAAGGGCAAGGAGGCCGCAGAGAAGGCGAAGAAGCGTCAAAAGAAGGACCAACCCGAGACGAAGCCGACTTCCAAGGTCAAAGGAGAGAAAGACAAGAAATCCAAGAAGCGCACTGAAGAAGGTGAAGCGCCCACCAAGAAGCGCAGCAAAAGATGAAGTAAAGAAGCCATTCTGCCGAGCAAACTGGACCTCGGAGCAGATGTCCAACGCGACCTATGACGAAGCAGTGCCCGCCAAGCAGCCAAGAACAGTCAAAAGCTGGGAGATCGCAGCAGACCAGCCGCCGAGCTTATGGTGGCTGTACTTCGACTTCGGTGCATTTGACAGAGTCTGAGGCAGCCAAAAAGGTTGGTGGTGCCTGCTCCGTCGTGGTGTCATTGCTCCTGGATTCTTGGATGTAATGAAAACTGCAGGACATTACCCCTGTCGGCTGCAGAACTTGAGGCGGGGATCTCGTATAGAAGCTCGGCAGAGTGGTATTCCCGTCGCGGCTGTACCAGGATGGTCAGAGCATATTCTCTCCAGATGCTGTCCGGTGTGAAGAGCTTATAGTCACGTGCTGAGCAACTGCTCTGGTGCTTGACGGGCGCAACGCTGGACCAAGGGGCAGAGTCTGACTCCAGTCCATCTCCCGCCTATTCAGAAGCACGCTACAGGGCGAGTTCATCACAGGCACGGCTCCGTTAGAACCTGCCCTGCCGCAGGCCTGCATGGACTTTTTGCCATCGCAGGCACCCGCCGTAGAGCGCGGCCGATTTGGCCGATGCCCCAACCGTCCGCCCCTCACTGCTCGACAGTGGCCAGTAGTGACACTAGCTGTAGCATGTTGCCCCTTAGCCCTAAGCAGCATGCTCCCTCAAACATGCAGCACAAGGGGTGGATTCAAAGAGTTCGAGCCAGATTGATGCATGTGGTACCGACTGGCCTGCAATACATGCGGGAGTTGCAACTAGAGAACTAGGCGCTGAGCTTCTGGCAGACCTTCCGTTTGGTGAAGATCCACAATGTGACCCAGCCAATTTGGACCGGAGCATGAGGAATTTGGGTGTTGCAGTTTCGTTCCAGGGCCAGCTTTGCCCCTGCGTGTCCTGCAACGATCAGCCACTGCCTTTCCCTGAGTTTACACCACCGTCCGGGTCCCGGCTGTCCATGCTTTCTAGTTTGATGACTGACTGAGGCCGTAAATTGCCAAGGTAGTCAGGGCCCGGGTTGCCGACATATGTCTGACTGCAAGCGAACAACTAGTGTAACTAGTCTCAAGCTTAGCTTTTGCAGGCTTGGATGATGTGACCGACACCTTCTTCGAAGAGGCTCTTAAGGACCCTTGAGTTTTCGAATCGTCTCCTGTGGATTGTGAGCTCCGTCACAAGCGTCTTTTTCATATATGTAGGCGGGTATGCTGCAGTTGTGTCCGAGTGCACCATTTCCGCCAATCAGTGCCGACCTTAAAATGTGTCCAGTCATCGCCAATCGTGAAAAGCTGTTCGATGGCTGCACAAACCTGTCTGCTTGCGTTTGCTTAGGACATCCAGCTCCGCGAGGGCGTCCTCTCCGAAAGGCCTTCAGCACCATGTCCGTGCGCCGAAAGACAATGAGCCTGTCGCTGCCTCCTCTTGTTTTGCAGCTGTACGGCATCAGGTACAATCAGTTGCTTCTCGCAGCAGCCAGGAGGGCGGCAGGGTCCTCGATCTTTCTCACGGAGGGAGAGTCATACTCTATCAAGCTGTCGTCCCTCCCAAAAAATCTTATCACCAGGGGCAAAGTCAACTTCGATAGATTCGAAATGAGAAAAACGTGGGCAGGCTCACAAACATCTTCTAGTCGAATGCGAGTTTGATGTTGGCCGTGCCGGGCCCAACCTGGACCAATCATTTGCACGAGCCTGTTTTCTTTTAGAGACGGAGTGGGGAGCATGCAGTGGGTGCACCGTGGCGTGCGTCAGAAACGGGCTACACCAGTTTTTGTCCCCGGACGGTCACCTGTGAGCAGCTAACTAAGACTGGTGCTGTTTTCAAGTGTATTTGTTGTTGCAAAGTATTATCGTCCACGCATGTGCCTGCCTGGCTTCGGGTGCTGTGACATTCAGAGACCTCGTCCGCAAGCTTTGCTTCTCTGCTGGCGTGCCTGCATGCGTTTGAACGCTCTGCATCCTATGGCGATGGAGGGCAGCATGCTCCGCGTCCAGGTGAGTGCCACTCAGGAAGATGAACCTCCATTAAACGTGCATGCAACACAGCGGAACTGCGAAGCTATGCTGGGCTGGGTGCCAACTTGAATCAACATGTGCTTCTCTGGGAAGTCGCAGACGGCAGTCAGACTCATTGGATGGAACATTGCAGCATGAGCCCCCTAAGAGCCTGCAAGGGGAGGCGTTTTCGGCCTTAAGGTACATGCCGGCAGAATGTTTTCCTAAAGCCGGCATTGACGAAGTGCGTTGCTGAAAGAGACGGTGGCTGCATCAAGTCTTTGGTGATGCTCAGTTGAGGCATATCTCCGGTGGCCGGCTCAGTCGACATTTGCCCCTCCACGGTCTCAGAGAAAAGTTGGTTGAGTTCATGGCACCCGTGTTAGCCATTCCCAGGTCGACAGACCTGGTACCCCTCCTGCAGCTCCAGGTCCGTCACAAGATGATAACGACTCAGAAGATGAACGTATAGGATTCTCAAAACACATTCTCCAAAAACGATTCCGGGGCACAGGAGAGGGCGTGCGATACATCCCTAAAGCTAGAGACTGCAAACCCTTATAAAATGTATCGCCCATCCTCATGGTTTAAGGCTTCTCTGCGCGTTTGACAGCGACGCAGCAACTCGATTTTGCAAACATGATTATGAGCGGTTCTGAGCCCATTGAGCATGAACAGTGTGTCTCTTGATATTGATAGCATGCTGCTCTCTGAAACAACCTTGCGCAGCTTAATAGCACCGGGTCCCCTAAATGCAAACACGATGATTGCACAATGAATTTCTATCCACAGCATCTCGCCTGATTGCGGTTGGGGCCACCCGCTTGCAGCCAAGATGATTGTGAAGTCGAAGGCCAGCCGCTGGAAACTTCCACAGGGACCCGAATTGTCCCATACCTATAACGCCCCGCTCCACCCCCCTTAACATAGCAGAGAGACGGGGGTACCCCCAGTGGCACCTATATGGTGCCGTCGGAAGTTGGACCCTGGAAGCCCTTGACAGTACTGTGGAGCCGGTGCCAGCATACGCCGATTAATGGCATCAGAAACCCTAAACAACCCCACCACCCAAAGTACACGGGGGGTGCGGGTGCAAGCCTTAAACCCTAAACCTGACACCCACCACCACACCACAGGGAGGGGGGAAAGGTGTCAAACACTAAACCTGAAACCCACAACCCACCGCCACACCACACCACAGAGAAGAGACACGGGGTTAAATAACCCAAAACCCACCACCGCACCACAGGGGGGGGCGGGTGCAAGCTCTAAACCCAACACCCACCACCGCACGACAGGGAGGGGTTCCAAGTGTTCCTAATCCGACTGGTGATTTTTTTCTGGAGATCACCTGGTTGTCAGCCAGAGCCTTTTCGGCCATATTTTCGGCATTTATATTCGCACTATCTGGTATACGTGTTCGAAACCCGTCCTTGCCGAAACGAAAATTCAGAAACGGATTTACCACCCCTTTGCGGCATTGTTAATCCAGTGGATCATGGAGATGAGCAGCAGATCAAGTGCACAGCAAGTCGCGCATGCTCAAATCAGTCACGACGCTAACATGACTGGCATATGGCTGCTTCAGCCCTGTTTCCGTAGTAATTCCTATCTATTTCTTCCCCCGCCCCCACTGTCGCTTGATAAGTGTGGTGTTGCCCACCCCCGCCCCCTCCCCGTCACCCCCCTTTATACCCACACATTATGCTTCCCCTGGCCTGGCTGTGGTGCGTGCTAGCCCGCCCTGGGCTCCGCCACGGCCCCCTCTGTGGGGCTGTGTGTGGCCTCGTGCCCAGGTTCGTCGTGTAGTGTGGTCGTCAGTTTGGCCTCGTCCCCGTGTGGTGTGGTGGTGGTGGTGTGATGGTGTGTGGTGGTGTGTGGTGGTGGTGTGTGGTGGTGTGTGGTGATTTGTGGTGATTTGTGGTGGTGTGTAGTGGTGTGTGGTGGTGTGTGGTGGTGTGTGGTGGTGTGTGGTGGTGTGTGGTGGTGTGTGGTGATTTGTGGTGATTTGTGGTGGTGTGTAGTGTAGTGGTGTGTGGTGGTGTGTGGTGGTGTGTGGTGGTGTGGGTGTGGTGTGTGGTGTGTGGTTGTGTGGTGAGTGGTGTGTGGTGGTGTGTGTGGTGTGTGGTGGTGTGTGGTGGTGTGTGGTGGTGTGTGGTGATTTGTGGTGATTTGTGGTGGTGTGTAGTGTAGTGGTGTGTGGTGGTGTGTGGTGGTGTGTGGTGGTGTGTGGTGGTGGTGTGTGGTGGTGTGTGGTGATTTGTGGTGATTTGTGGTGGTGTGTAGTGGTGTGTGGTGGTGTGTGGTGGTGTGTGGTGGTGTGTGGTGGTGTGTGGTGGTGTGTGATGATTTGTGGTGATTTGTGGTCGTGTGTAGTGTAGTGGTGTGTGGTGGTGTGTGGTGGTGTGTGGTGGTGTGTGGGTGTGGTGGTGTGTGGTGGTGTGTGGTGGTGTGGGGTGGTTTGTGGTGGTGTGTGGTGATGTGTGGTGGTGTGTGGTGGTGTGTGGTGGTGTGTGGTGGTGTGTGGTGGTGGTGTGTGGTGATTTGTGGTGGTGTGTAGTGGTGTGTGGTGGTGTGTGGTGGTGTGTGGTGGTGTGTGGTGGTGTGTGGTGATTTGTGGTGATTTGTGGTGGTGTGTAGTGTGGTGGTGTGTGGTGATTTGTGGTGATTTGTGGTGGTGTGTAGTGTAGTGGTGTGTGGTGGTGTGTGGTGGTGTGTGGTGGTGGTGTGTGGTGGTGTGTGGTGATTTGTGGTGATTTGTGGTGGTGTGTAGTGGTGTGTGGTGGCGTGTGGTGGTGTGTAGTGGTGGTGTGGTGGTGTGGGGTGGTGTGGGGTGGTGTGGTGTGGTGTGGTCATGTGTGGTCTGGTGTGGTGTGGTGTTGGGTTTGGGTTGTTTAACCCCCTCGTCCCCCTGTGGTGTGTCTTTGGGTTATTTAACCCCGTCTCTGCCCCCCTATGGTGTAGTGTGCTGTGGTGGTGGGTTGCGGGTTTCTTCCCCCGAAGGTGTTGTTGGTTTCGTGCCGTACATAACCTGTACGAAAGCGGCCTCGTGAATCGTGGTTGCCGGGTGCGCCTGCAGTGTCAACGACATGGAGAGAAGGATTTTGGATGGGTTCGGAGGCCTTCGTGTGTATTCAGCACCGTTTTCGGAAGCAGATGTCCAGGGTATCCGACCCGACCCTGTCCTTGGTATATTTTTTTGTGATAAGCGAGCAGGGGTGGGGACTGTAGCATGCAAGAGGCCCGGTGGCTTTCGGCGACCCCGAAGCCCCCTAGGACCCCGCCTATTTACCCCTAACCCCGAGCTCCCTGCACTGCTAACTGTTCCGGAAACGGACCTGGCTGGACGAAGTGCATATGCACGCACATACAGGCTGACAGAGGTGCGAGTCCGTGTGCGAGCGAGCGAGAGAGAGAGACAGAGATACCGTGTAGCCTTGATGGAAGAGGGCGGGTGACCCGAATGGCTACAATCCATTGGTCTTGAAGCGGTGATGGTCTTAGATTTGGTTGGGGGCTGGGTTATTGATGGTGCATTCGGGGGAACGCCTCTCTCCGCCCGGAAGAGGGCCCTCTCGGACAGACTGCGCACGGACCTTGTGGGGGTAGGCCTTAGGGCCAAGGGTCTCTTGAGGCCCTAGACTCCTTAGCAAGGAGGCAAGATACATCGAGCAAGGCAAGAGAGAGACATACATGCATGCAGGTTCGCAAAATTCACATAGCTATACGCACGACCTTTGGCTCTTTTGCCTGAATCGTCTGTATTGTTTTGGGAATGTCTGCCAAGCTTTTCCGAAGACGGTTTTCTCAGTGTTTTCTGACTTTGTGCCACTATTTTTTGTTTTTAAGCGTTGGTCCGCCCGTTTCGATTCAATGTAAAGTCGCATCTGCAATCCTGTGCCCGGAGGTCCGCCTGGATTTCCAGGTCGACCTTTGCGTCGCTATGAGCATCCGGCCGAGAACCAAGACTGCTCCGAGTGTGCTTCTTCCACTGCTTGTGATTGCTGCTGTACAGCTGCTGTGCGAGCAGTTGTCATGGTGTCATGGTGGGTGTTGCTGCAAATCGGCAAACATTGGAACGACTGCCGGTAGGCTGCAGGCTGCTGGCCTTCTCACCCTCAATCTTGATCCGCCTGGCAGGTCCGCGAAGAACCCAGCAGGGACTTCATCAGTCCGAAAGGCCCGTCCTGCAGTGTTTAGGATTGTTTAGGTAGACTTGCGATTGGCAGCTCCCTAAAATTGAGATCCTTTCTGGGGTTCGCGCAGTAGCAGCTACTTGTCTCAGAGATGCGTTGGCAGGCCATCTTGGAGTGGCGAGTGGCCGTTCGATCGATGCAGAACTCGCTGGAGAACAGACCCGCGACGGGAACGGGCAGCCTGCAGAAGGCCAGGATGCAAGCACGTCATGGCTGACGGCGCTTCTTGCCGCAGTGGCGCTTCTTGATAGGTTGGGACACTTCCTGGCCGGCATGGCGGTCAAGTCTGAAGGTGCTGGGACGATGTTCACTTCGTAGTTCGGTTCGCGTAGTTCACCGAAAGATATGTGTGATGTGAGTGATGTGCAGTAACCTGACTACGGAGCCAACCTGGGGTTTAACCGCACGGCAAGAAGGAATAGAGGTGCACCAAATTATGGGATGCAACGCACACTAACCCTAACGAAAGGGGAGGCCTTCCTACAGGAACCCATCTACACCCTGCTGCCAACGTGGGGATGAGGCCACTGCGGCGTTCACCGAAAAGGTGGGAAGTAGTGCTTTCAGAGGTTTAAAGGAGTTTTGGCATCTACTTACTTCGGGAGTTTTGTAGCCTCTTGTACTTTCTGTTGCTTGTTGCTTTTCACGCTTTTCCTTGCTTCCCGCTTTTGCGTTCGCCTGCTTTTGCTTCCTTGTTTCCCGGTCTTAGTCTTCTACGTCTTTTGCTTTTGGCTTTCTGCGAGCTGCTTGATAGTTCTACTTCTTTGCTGTGCTGCTTTTTGTTCATCGCTTTTCGGCTTTCTGCCTTCGGCAATTCGCTTTGCGTTTTTGGTTGCTTCGTTGCTCTCCGCTGTTTGCTGTCTTTTTCTGTAGCCTCTGCTGCTTCTGCTTATTGCTTTCTGCTTTGCTGCCTTCAGCTGTAGAAATTTGCTGTACATTGTTGTGCACTGTGTTTGCAAGTGGCTCCCCTGCCCTCTCTGCCCGACCCACCCGCTTCGATTTGCAGCCTTACAAAATGATTCAAAGCTTTGTTTAAGAGACGTGATCAACGGGCGTGTTTGAGAAATGTGCCCTGAAACCATCCCCCGGGCCCTGTCCTTCGCGCCCAAAGCTCGTCTCGTCTCCACGGCTCACCACCCAAGCAAACATGATCTCCAACAACAGTGTGATGCATCACGGCGCCCCTCGCCTGTCGAAACTTTCGCGTGCATGCGACAACTCGCCAGGGTTTGATTAGAGGTAGGTTTAGGAAATGCGGTCAACCGCCATAACCCATTGGCGGTGTCTAAGCCGGAGTCTAAGCCGCACGCAATTGGGTCGCGATCTGGGTCCATTCTGAGCGGATTCTGGGAGTGATGCCGTCCGAATTCAAAACGTCCAAAGCGCCTCAAAGCATTGCCGAAGTCTGAGGCTTCTCGGGCTTGTCCGTGTGGTCGTGTAATTCTGCCTCTAAGCCCACCCTTTCATTAGGCGACAGCGGTTGATCAAATTTCTTTAAACCCAAGATCATTTCATTTGGAGATTGCGGTTTATCAACAGTGAGGGAAATCACATGTTCAACATGCGGCCCTCATAGGCGATGGCGTTTGATCGTATTTCTATAATTTTACTGCGACGCCGCCCGCCTCGGCTCCTCAGGTGCAGGTTCTGTATCACTCAGGAAATCTGTTCAGGTCACGGCTATATTGAGAGACTTTTTTTAGCGGGACTCCCACGATTCAACAGGTGCGGGGGCGCCGTAGACCTGCTTTTTCAGAGGAGGAACGAACAGCTGCAACGCAGGGTTTCAGGGACCAGCAAGAGCAGGCAGGGGGGGGACAGGGGGAGGGGGGGCAGGGGGGAGAACAAGCCGAAAAAACAGCAGGAAAGAGGGGGTCAGGGGTGCGGAAGGCCGAAAAATCAGGTAAATGTGGCAAATGAATGCGAAAAAGGGGTGTCTCGCTGGTCAGGCGGAGGGCACTTGAGGTAACCCCCAAGACGCCTGCGCCCGTGGCCTCGGCCGATAGGCCCCTTTCCGACTGCGAACCATGAGCTCTTCGGACTTGTAGCGAGTCCGAGCGTGAGAGCATACACCCGCCCCTGCTTGGGTGATGGAGCTTGATCATATTTCTTCAGCCTCTCCCCTTAATAAAGAGATGACGCCACATTTGTTGCGCCCGCCCCAGCATAAGGATATGATTACTGTGAAACCACCCCCCTCGTAAAGTGTCTGTGGGACATCGACGCGCACCAAAAAACTTCATCCTCCCCCCATTAGGCGATGGTGGTCGATCGCATGTGTTGAGTGCATTTTTCGAAAAAACCCCTCGCGGGTTCTCCTTTGGATTTTCCAACCGCGCAGGTGAAGTGGGTTCGCGGGTGTGCGACGCGGAAGGTTTGGTCGGTGGAGGCCGAGGTACCACCCCGTCCACCCGGGTCGCGATACAGGGTGCGGTGCGGAGCGGGAGGTTCCACTGGTGGGGGTCGCGATATGGGTTGCGGCGTGCGAGGGTTCCACTGTCTGACGCCGCTGAATCCGCTGAAGTACCCTATACAATTGGAAAAATCATGTTAGTGCCACTGCTCGGGAGATTGCTTTGTGGATGGTTTCTGGGTTCCCGGGTTGACCTTGTCTTCACGGCCGCCGCCTCATTGGGCGATGCCGGATGATAAACCTAGTAGCAAGTCTTGCAAGGCTTTGAAACAGCACGCGGGGGAGGGAATCGGCAGAACGCACAACACAGCTCAACTCCAAAGTTAATTCTCGAACATTCTCGAACCATGGCTTTTTCAGCTTGGTCTAAGGTGTCCTCCGCAGCGTTGCGCCGGCATTCGTTACAGTCCCAGAGCACTGCCTGAACACGACAGATAGTCAGAAAGTCAGCATGTTTGACAACGCCCTCATACGCCCTCTCCCTGCGTGACAGCAAAAAGTTCGCGGCGTTTCCCGGCCCAAGCTAGTGGCCTTGCAGACTAATCAGACTGCAACCTCAGCACGGCAAAGATGCCTGAAGACGAGACGCTTGCCTGAAAATCTGTCGCATGTGCTGAGTCTCTGCGTGAAGTTAGCGCTTCGAAGGATGTGCTGTGATGTCCTGACAGGAAGCCGAAGGAGACCAAGGAGGCCACGGAAGAAAAGCCCAAGGAATCGGGCGGTCTTTTGGACGAAGAGGATCCTCTGGCAACTGCTTCCTTGTCCTGATCTCTGCAAAAACTTGTTCAGCTCTTCAGAGGATGAGTTCGAAGAATTCGAAGATCCCGATTGGGCACGGGGCTCAGGAAGTGCACCCGACATGTGAGGGGTGAGGTTTTTCTGGAAGCCAAGGAGACGCCGGCTCCTGGAACTTCTGAGGCTAAGCAATGGGAAGAAGACTGGGATGATGCCGGGTGGGACGATGAGGATCAGGCCGTTACGATCGCACGCGACTCTCGGAATCTCCCCTTTGTACGGCTTTGTGAGGCTGCTTAGCTCCCGCTTGTGCTGCTCACAGGACGACTCTTTCCAGAAGCGGCTAAAAGAGGAGCTTGACAAGATGGAGGTCAAGAAGTGAGACAATTCGAAGAGAGCGAACCTCCATTTCTGGCGTTTTGAGCCATCTGCCCGGAATGCGCTTTAGCTGCCAAGGTTGCGGTGGTGGCTTTGCAGTGTATATGATCTGGGTCTGGGGCTGGCAGTGAGGGTGGACCAACGTTCCGACGCCGACTGCAGGGAGTGTCAACAGACACAATCGAAAAAGGCTTCAGCTACTTCCTATGTTTCTTTCCGGCGGATGTTCGGGGCGAGTACCACATCGATCGTAGGTCGTACGTCTCACAGGAAAACTGGCACAGAATCACGCCTGGAAACAAGGACAGGCGAGCACACGGTGACCGGTGCATGTTTCGTTTTTGCAGCTACACTTTGGTCGGCTGCCGAACATGCTCGAACCTGGTGCCCCGAGGTCAAGAGGCGGGCCTTCTATTTGCCGACGTCCAGAGGCAGACCAATAATTTCGAGAGCTCTGCTCTATCACCATCTACAGTTCGAGTCGCAGAGGACGGAGCTAGAGTGATCTTTCTCTAGACCATCGTCCGGCCGGCGTAATCCGCTGTTGGGCCTGTTTTGCTTTCTGGCCTGCCCGGCCCGACAGCTGTGAGGACGTGATCTAAACCAGAATGCAAATGTTCCCTAGTCCCTGTTCAGTCTGCTCCGTGCATCAGCTCCCTGCTGAAGCCCAGACCGTCTGGGACCGAGCCTAGAGTGTGTGCTTTCTCGAAATCCACATTCATCCGGTTTGAGTTGCAGGGCTTCTGTCCTCCAACGACACCCGGCCGGAGGCCGTGCAGCTTCATCCAGTGATTAATATGGTCCGCGTTGGAGGTGATGCATAAGAAAGGTCCCGAGCCTCTTGCTCCCAGCATGTGTGTTGGAAGTGTTGGCTCGACATATCACATTGAGGCAATGAACGTGCACGCATCTTGAGCGACCTACTTCCAGATTTGCCCGGATGAGCTTGAGAAGATTGGGATTTAACACGGCTGCTACTGTAGCAGCCCTAGGTGCCAACTGCCACGACTCACCGGAACTAGCCTGACACGGGCACTTTGTCTGAATGTGCCATGTTCAGAAAATTTGGCACCTGGGTAAAGAGCAGCGCATGGTCGCAGACTTAGCAAAGACCAAGTGTAGTCTCGATCGCAGATGTCTGTTCTTGACTCGTGATCTCTTGTGGCATGCTGTTTTCACGAGGCTGTTGCGCAAACTTTAGGCTCGGAGCAAAGAGATGCCTCGAGCCCCGCAGATGGCAATCTCCCAAGAAGGAGGAACGGCACACCTAAGCTTTCTTCAGTCATTCTCCTTCAGCTCAGAGCTACAAGGTGGAAGCAGCGACAACGTTTGCTGCACAGGGACTGAGAGACTAAGCTTGTGGTCGTCGTTATCGAGATGTTATTGTGGGAGTACAGACACATTCTCTCCGTCGCCATCCCCGAGCAAGCGTCGTGGTCGTGGTCGCCTCTTGACCCCAAGCTTGCTGTCAGGAAGAACCAGAGAGACTTGCAGCTCCTTGGTCAAGACGCCTCCACCTCTGGAAGTCGTCGAGATCTTTAGCAACGATGAGTCCATCGCAGAGCCGTCCCAGCCCTTAAGGCCGAAGTTGTCTTCGAGCTCTTCGGAGGGGGAGAAGGTGACTCCACCTGACGAGGAGGACCAACAAGACTCGGAGATAGATAACCTGCACATGCGATGTGGAAGAGCTCAGAGTTCTAAACAGCATGTGCGCTGGAAGACATCGGGTGAGGAATCCGAGTCACAAGAGTCAAACGAACTTCCTGAGCAAGAGCTGCATAGAACAGAGAAGAAGCGGAAAACCCTCAACACTTGGATGAGTGCTTTGTTGGATATGTCTGAAGGCGGTTTCGACACGACCGTCGTGCCAGAACCCGCATCTCCTGCACGTTCGCACTGGTCATTCCGTTCGCATCGGACAGCTACCTTGCTCCCACCGTCACCGACCGGTGTAAGCCCAGCTTCTGGAAAGTCGCGTGGATGGCGAACGCCGGAAGGTTCAGTGACATCCAGCCCGGCCAAGAGTAATGTGAGCCCGATCAGCCCGCCAGGACAGGTTAGCATTCTTTGTCTTCTACGTGGCCACTTCCTGGGTAATGTGGATGCCGATGGATCTGGTCATTTCACCAGGGAGGAGCTCTTCGATCACATCAAAGAGCTGCTGGAGCGTACCAGTGGCTCCTTGGGCAGCGAGGATCTGGAACTACTCGGCGAGGTGGTGCCGCTCAGCTTGCTCCTATCCACGGTTGACAGCACAGGCACAGACTTTTGAACTACCTGATGCCCTACATAAGTGATTCTGCGCGCTTCGCTAAACCCAAGGAAATGCCGCTTTTCCGAGATGGACTTGCATTCAGGTGCTGGGCAGCAAGGACTGGGGATGGACGAGTGGGTGCACTTCATGCTCCTGCGTGTAGCTGCCTCAGCCGCCATTGTTGTTTGCTGCAAGAAACGCTGCAAACAAACCGTCCTGCAGTCCTGCAGTGTGCCCTGCCCTGTGCTAAGGCCTCAGCTCCGAGTCACGTGGCGGCCAAGCACTTGAACCGACATCTTCGGAAGTCGCTTGAGGAGAGCCCGGAGCTCCTGAGCCGTTTGCATGCAGCCTTCGAAGCTGCCGATACTGGTGATGGCTTGCTTCGCCAGGAAAAATGGCTAGCAGCTTTTGAAGCAGTAGGCATGAGCCAACCGCCTGATGAGATTCTCGAAGACAGAGAGGAGGATGGTTCTCCATGGGCTCTCAGTTACTACGAATTTCTCGCACATGCCCTGGGTTTGAAGGCATCCGTTGTCGAACTGGTACTATACGACCTGTCTCAAGGTGTTGCACAGTGGATTCCCGGTTCGCTGCTTGGTGGCCACCAGCTTGACGGCATTTGGCATTCTGGGCTTCGCGTGTTCGGCAAGGAGTTCTGGTTCGGTGGCGTCATCTTGGAGTCCAAGTACGAGGATGTACCCTTCGGAGTTCCGAAGCAAGTTATCCGATTAGGCACTACTCTTCGCACCTACGAGGACATGGTTGAATTTCTGAAGGAAGACTTGTATGTGGACTACAACCCCAGGAGCTATGATGTACTGCGCCGAAATTGTAATCACTTCGCCAACGAGTTGGCACAGTTTTTGCTTCATGGCAAGCAGCTCCCCGACGATGTCTTAATGCAGCCCGAATGGGTCCAGGATGCGATGTTAGTTCGGTTTTTGAGACCCATCCTCAACCGCTGGTTGGGAGGCTTCGGAGATGCGCTTAATTCCGGTGGCGCGGATGAATTGCCCCAAGCGGTCAGCCGCGTAGATGACCTGACGGAAGAGTGGCGCTGTCGTCTTCAACCAGGAGATGTTGTCATGCACCGACATCGCTTCATTGATCGGCCGCGGGCAGTGAGGCTCCTGTTTATAGAGACAGGCGAAAGTGGCCGTCGCACAGCAGCGATCCGATGTTTGAGACCAACGGCGGCAGAGGAATTGTCGCCCTCGTCTTGGGAAATGGTCCACCAAACGGGGGTTCCCTTAAGGCAGTTCTATCCCATCCTGGAGGAAGACCCTGGAGCGGCACACATCCTCCGGGCAGGACTGGCAATCAGGCACGCGCAAGCGCGCAAGGTGTTGCAGAGACCGCGGGGTACTCCAACCCATGCTGCATGCACCAAGGGCCACCTGCTCAAACCAGAGGAGGGCTATGCCTGGTGGCCCACTTTGATGCAGAAGGTTTGCGGCGTTTGCCAGTGTACGATATCAAACTCCTGCACGGCCTGGCAGTGCGAGCGATGCAATGTTACACTCTGTCAGGCTTGCCTGCAAAGTGCCAACAGCCTGCCTGGCGGTGGTTTGTTCGTGGACGTTCTCTCGCCCGAGTTGGCTCGAGCCCTCCTAGATAATGATCAGTGGCTGAGGTACAAAGCCAAGGCCTATTTTTTCAAAGCCGACCACGTGGCAGCAGGATTCCTTGACAAGGCCAAGATCCGGCGCGTGGAGAACCGACTGGCTGCAGAGTTGGGTACCAAGCCACTGTCTGACGCGGAGCTACTCAGAGAGCTCCGAGATCTGATAGACAGAAGCGGCATGGACAGCTTCTCTCCTTTGGAAGTTCGAGAGTCTACCTTTCAACAGTTCTTCGCTGCGGCTCTTTCGAGGGCTTTAGCATTGCTACAGTCAGGTAAGCACTGGCACCCACACAGTCGCAAGAAGGGTGCACGAACGGGCAGCAAGGGGAGTCAGTGACTTCGAGTGGTCCGGACATGTCTGGATGATTCGTGGGGCACGGTTTTAAAACAAGAGCTCCTCCTGAGGAGGGTGCGAGTGTTGAGGCCGTGCGATTTTAGCTGGCCGGTGCACACTCGTTTGCAGTTTCACATACTCGCCTCTACATCTTCCGGGTCTTGAAGTCTTTGCCAGATCCTGATATAGAGTTCGTCTGATTAGGTTGTACATTTGACAGAACTGAACGTGGCAGCGACCTGGACAAGGTAGGAGCACCTGACGTCCGCGCCAACGCGCTTGGTCCAGTTTGTCTGATATTGTGTGGCAATGTCTGATGTCAAGTGGCCGCTGCGAGCGGTGGTGATGCTTTCGCTTGTCATGCCGATTCCGTCCGCACAAATGCCTACCTACTTTAAATGCTTGCGTTCCAAAACGAAGAGCAGTGAGTCATCTTGGCAACAACTTGAATCCGTAACCCTTCTGACTGTGACTCCGAGTGCTCAGCTCTGACTCCGCTCCGACTCCCAGGCCCCTCGTCAGTGAAGCTGGCATTTTCGGCGTACGATGGCTGCAGCTTGTTGGACTGCTGCACTGTGTTCAGGTGCGGTCTGCGCATTTGACACATCTGCCGGCTACTGGGCAGTGTGGGTAGGTGAGCGTGCGCTGACACAGGAGTACGGGATTGACTTTTCAACCACAGTCGGAGCATCAATGGCAGCTTGGAGTGAAGAGTTGATGGTCAGCAAATTTTGAAGATGGAGTGTGTGTGTTTTCTGCATTCTGGCAGCTGATTTCGATGTGTCCTAGTCGAGGTGCCAGTGTTCAATGCCTCCGGCGATGTTCTTCTTTATGAGCGATTAACGCAGAGATTGGCTGGCTGGTCTCGTGGGGAGGCCGTCCGACTTGAGGAAGCAGATGCTTCTCTCAGCTTAGATGCTTTTGTGAGCGTGCTTGAGCAATGGATCGTCCTTCGAAGCTTACGCTTCCTAGCGGAGTTTCAGCAGCGTGAAACTGTGGTTGAAACTAGCATACATACGATAGTCAACGTAGAACGCTTGCAGAGCAGATACGCGTGTCAGTCGCTCTTAGGCTCTTTCCAGAGGGTGGAATGTGTTGGGAGCCCGAGTACATCGCAGCAACCTAGTTAGCCGTGAGCCAGTGGAACCTGCTTAGCTTGTTGTTGCAACACCAGTCGACGGCAAGTCCCTCTCTGCAGCTGTTGGGGCTATAGCTGAACTGCCGGCGACCTGCTAACGAACTCTAACAGCGCCGGGACTTGTCAATACCAACGCCACTTCACTCCTTTCAGACTTGTTGTTTGCCTGCAGGTTTACACTTGAGCTTGGGAGGGAACTGGATTGTCAGGTTGTCGTCGCCACCTCGCCGAAAGATCCGGATGGGCGCATATGTTTCCTGCCTTTCTAATGCATGCTGACCTGCTGAGAGGTTGAGCTTGTTGCTTCTGCCACGCGTCTCTGGCTTGGGTAGCTTGATGTTGTGAGCACAAGCAGACATGCCCAGGCAAACGAATCCTTGGCCTACAGGGAGACAGGGTGCTGATCTCTGCTATTGTGCAAGGTTGAGCACATGAACCCAAGCAAGTCAAAGAGCATGCTTCAAATCTGTCGACTGTTGATTCTGAGGTGAAGGTATGGAGTCACATCGGCGAGAAGGAGCTGCCTGGACGCAGTGCGATCGCATCATGGTCCACATGCATGTGTGTCACATCGAGACGATGTGCTGAGGGTTCTTATTCCTCGAGGGCATGTTTGGTTGGAGGGCGACAACAAGGCAGCCTCCCACGATTCCAGACACTATGGTCCAGTTCCTGTCACAAGCTCAGATGAAACTCGCTCATATGATAGCATATGCCTGGGGTGCAAAGTGCAAGCTATGAGATTCAGGTCGGACTGCTGCAAGGAAAGGTGCGTTTAAAACTGTGGCCGCTCACCGAATGGGGCAACTCGACACAGACAGAGCAGTAAGAACAGTTTCGTACGGCACCATGCAGCGTGTTTTGCATCATTCGAGGTCCAGTTCGGGTGATCCCGCCCTAGCAGTCGCACTGAGTGCTTTGCGGCACGAATTGCATACCACAGTACCATTCGCGTTTGCCGCGAGCTGCTTTGCTAACTTATCTCGGTCGTAAGGCATGCTGAGGACTGTACAAGATGCAGTGGCTTTGCAAGTTGCTAATCCAGAAACGTGCTGGGTGGTCCTGAGTACGAGCACATTTCGAAAACAACAGGTCCTTCTGCAACGCGCAGATGCGTGCAAGAAATTGGGGCGACATGTGCAAGCGCCGAATTTCGCCTTTGCTGTTTTCGAGCCGTTGCTTTCCGCAAACGGTGCTGGTGGGGGGGGGGGGGGCGGGACGGCCAAGTAATGTCACGCAGGTGATGAGGGCGATGTGAAGGCTGATCGATTTGCATTTTTGTAGCGTTGTGTATGGTGTTCATTGCAGTCAGATTCAAGACGTCAGGAAGAGCATTCTGTCAGACGAGGAGCAGGCTGGCACACCGGATTCCCTCGTCGTTGCGACTGGAGCTTGCGTTTGCCAAGGTGCGAGGAACGTTGCTTCACATGTCGGGAATCCATGCGAAGAGGACGATATCGCCACATCGCCATCGGATGAGTTGGTCATGCGCCGTGCAAGCCGTAAGGGACAAAGTGGGACAAGCAGGGTAGGACAGCTTGGAAGGATCCGACCAGTGCATCGACTTCAGGTGCCACTGTACAGGCAAGTGCAGATTTGATTCATTGTTAGCGCGTGGATTTAGCAAAGCTTAGCGTCCTTGCAAGCCAGTAGGCAAACCATCCCCGGCCACGTTGTGTGCCCAAGTTGCCAGTTCGCTGATTGGACGATGTTTGTGAAACAGCTTCGAGGCACGCAGTTGCTTGATTCGCTTGATTCGGACAGGGTTAGGCATGCAGCACTTCTCCTTGCCGTGCTTGAATATCGTAGTCCACGCAGAGGGTTTCATCAACAAGCCGGAGCGGTGAGGACCTGGGAACACGGGTTGAAGAGTCTGCAGGTCCAAGAACTGAAAAAGTGTCACGAAGCTAAGAGATTCAAGGCTGAGGGGTTGGTCAGGATGTGGTGTATATAGGATCTTCTTTTAACTCTTCGTCGGCAGCAAAACATCATATCGGCGTCTGAAAGCATTCGGTATTCAAGGGCACTCCATCACACAACTTCGTATTTCCTCTACTATACTATAGTCAGCTCATGAGATGCATTTTGTGCTGGGGTGTTGAGTGTGTCTTTACGGCCTTGCTGGACGTGCGTTCTTGGTGGCACTGCCCGATGCTCATCCGCAAGTCTGGCACAGCTCAAGAAGTAGGCCAGCGGGTAGTGTGCTATCCCGCTGAGCCATGCCAGCTGGAAGCATGTCGAGAAGGCACGGGATGCAGTTCACGATGCCGCTGCTAGCAGGGAGTGATGCAATGGACAACCTCACATTTGGTTGATTGTGCACTTCACAGTCCGGCCAGACACCCGCACTGCGGTCTTGCTTTGTTGCTGGCAGCCGCCGTAGCGACCCTATCAGCCGGGACCTTCTGCTGGCATCAGGGGTGTGCCGCACATTGAATCGCATGCGGTGGATGGAAATATTCGTTATGACGTTTCCACTAAGGTTTCTTGCTTCACAGTTTTCACGGGCGCACAGGCAGGAGAGGGCCGTGTCAACCAGCGCACCTCGGCAAAAACAACCTGTTATAATGATGTTAATTGAGCCGGGCTCACGCAGGCCATGTTTGGTTTTTGTGCTCGAAGTTGTGAATCCTATCGACCTTGCTTGTTTGACCGAGGCAGACTGAATCTGCCTAGCGCCAGCGAGCCTGGTTTGGTGCGGGAACCTGCATGCTCAGCAGTTGTTTTCTATTGAACATTCCACAGCTTGACGCCATCCTTGTTCAGCGAATGCACTGTGACAAGGGCATTTTGGCTGCTTTATGCAAGCCAATTTGCTTTTTCAGGTGGCAGCACGTGCATACTCAACAGCGCCGCTGGCAGAACCTCCAGAGGACTGTGCGTGAAATCAGCATCCCAGTTGCCGCATCGTCCTCAGGCGGAGGCCGGCAAAATAGCCCGTCAATCAGGGCAGCAGAGCGCCTGAAAACCCAGCATGCAGGATTTGATGAGCATCAAGCAGCACCTTGGTCGCAATGACTTTAACCACAACGAAAAAACCGCAGATGCGAGAGCCGGAGCCCTGACAAATCGCATATTAGTCTTTTCTTCAACGATGTTAAATATGTGCGAAACCCCGTCTACTAACCCGGCGATAGTCATACATGACAAATTCAGAGACATGTCGATGTATCGACATCGAAAGGTCAGACTTACAAATAACAACATGTTACAGGATAGTATGCGACAATACGATAAACGTTGCTTCAGTTTCATACAGCATGACACAATATGAGACAGTATAAGATTAACAAATACAGCAATATGATATGCGTAGATGTAAAGTTTATAATGCACGCACATCATGTTTGCTAGTATGTCTTCAGCTCTGATGGGTGTATATGCGCCAGGCGACATCTGACGCCGTCAGCCGAGCATCTTGAGTATGCAGTAGTGCCATGGCTCATGTGTTTGTCATCCTGGGATTGTTCAGGCTCAGGCCCTTTCGGGTTGAGGAGAGAGTGCAGGGTTTGGTCCAGGGTACTGACGGGACTGCAATCCGAGGTGGAATACTCTGGCCGGCAACACATGATCGTTGAGGGCGGCATGTACGAGACCTATTTCATTCGAGCAGTTCCTGGCTCGAAGGTCCGAAGTTTAGAGATGTCCGCGTTCCAGATGTTGCGCTGCTCATGTTCTTGAAAAACGTGAGCTTGCTGATTACTCAGGGCTTGCTCGTGGCAGGTGCGATTGAATCGAGTCCTGCTGCTGAAGGAGAAGAACAGTGGCGGCGAGCATTTTGACTAATGCATGGCAAATCCTGCCAGCTCGAATAACGGAAGCATGCAGCAGAAAGTTCTGAGTCGTTCATTTGTCAGCTGCCGCGCGCTGTGGCAGCAGAGGTTTGAGATCAGTGTTGGACAGCCGTTGGTGGATGGAGCATATGCAGAGGCCCTCCAACCGAGCACTATGCAAGTTGCCGCGCACCCAATAGGTTTGCAGATGGCCTGTTCAGATCACTATCCTCGAGCACTTGAAGGGCGAAGACCAAATTGTCTTCAAGCACAAGAAGAAGCTCCTTGGATGCATTGAGAACATTCATACGGTCACCGGTGGATTAAAAGATTCATATGCTATTTCAAGACGTGAACATGCTTCCTCGAAGGAAGCACTACATGAAACGCTGGATTGTCAACCAGAAGCTCACTCGCTTCCGTGTCGACAAGCCACTTGTCAATGTCTTGGCAGAAGAGCCTCTGTTGGGAAAAGTCGTCATTGAGAATCCGTGCACGCGTTCGTTCTAGAAATGGGTGTGCACGAGTGGCACGACTGACTCCTTGCCGTGTCAGCTCGAGCTGCAGGATCGTCAAGGGTTCGCCTGATGATGCCGTTGAGGGCAGAGCTCCCTACCCGCTTGAACCAGAGTCCTAGACGCATCCCTGCTCAATCGGAGTTGCCCAAAGGATGTGTTGTGCGCGCACCTGTAAACTTCTCCACCTGTTTAGTTCTGGACGGACATGGATCATTCATGACTCTTTTAGGTGTACTTAGAAGCTGTGCTCGGGGATGTGTCGGACGCTGCAAGGAGTACTGCATGCTGCGTTTGCAAATTTGAAGCGACTTTCTGGTGTATTCTGATATGTGATATGATGCTGACAGCACTCCAAGCTCCTCGTCGAGAGTGGGCCAGACTGCGAGGGCAAAAGTGCTTTCCCTGCCCCTTTACGTCGGTCGCGAAGTGACTTGCGAGCTTCGTGCATTTCGCTGGCAGGCTACACAGGTGGACCACTTGAGCTCGTCGTCATGTCCCCAGACCGTTCTGTGTGGTTGTTGTAGTGTTTGTGCACATTGACCGACACGGCAAGAGTGAAGCAGCTCAGTATCCTTGAAGTTAGTTGAGGCCCGTTTGCCGTCCAAGCTCGAATCTCAGAGCAAACGTGATCTTTCGCAGAGAGTTCGCAGCGAGGCAGTCATGCGGGCAGATACTGTAGTTAGAGTGCATCGGTTTCGGCAAGGCGCAATAGCCTGCCAAAGGCAGGCATGCGCGACATGCCCTACGTGCAGCGGCCTTCACACTTTGCCATGGCCATGCCGCGATGCCACCGTAAACAGCAGTTTGCCGAGGCTCAAGGAGCCGTATCCGCCCATTCCGTTTGGTCCCAAGTGTGGACGTTGGTCCTTCCAGTCGAGATCGGGAAATTGAAGTCGGACAGGCTGCATTCAAACATTTGCAGCATCAACGCTTTGATCGCATCACGCAGACGCGCCAGAGCCCTGAATTGACGACCTGCGAGATTTCGCTTCGATGCTCCTTTGTCGAGTCTGCCGTAGAGATATCCACGTGCCATTGACTTCAGTGCCTGCTACAATCTGAGGCATTGTCGAAGAATGGCATCGATGTGGGGTGTTGACGGGCATTGAGCCAGATGAGCACGTGAAACGTGTGAAAGGTGCAAAAGCCCTGTGCAGCGCAAGATGCGCCGCAGCCTCCAGGCCCGGCCCAACAAGGTGGCCCAAAGGTGAAGGCCAACTCGAAGGTGCCATATGCAGATCGCCAAAGCTGCGATCACACCAAGCCGGGGGCTTTAGGAAGCATCCCGTTCAAAGCTATCCGGGCTGAAAGCATAGTTTCAGCAGCGTGATGCGCAGTGCATGCGCATCTCGACGGAGCCTAGACTATGTGCTGCCAACGAATGCGTATGTTGAACTTCTTTCCTCTCAGCTTGAGCCACGACGCACCTCCGGTCGCTCCTGGAAAGCTGAGGCACGCCAGAATGTGCATGTTTATAACCATGGACGTAGCCTCCGGCTCAGGTGTCTTGCAAGCCTGCCGCCCTGCCGGGTGAATGCAAGCAGCACAGTCCAAAGCTCGGAAAAACATTTTGCCGACACAGTTACGAAAAGTTCTACCATGCCACTACATATTTGCGAGACAGGTTTGTCTTCAAAAGAAGGTACCAGCTCTCATACCGTGCTCAGGTTCGTCGACGCTGCTGACGCCCCAGAAGAAGTCCTTGTTGTGGAGTGCATCTTGTTGCAGCGCTTGTTGCTTTGAGCCTCCTGTTGAGCCTTCGAACACGAGATGGCTTTCAGAGTCGCACCACTTAGGCCGATGATGGTATCTTTCTGCATCTTTTACGGTGTCCTTCTAAGTCGCAGCACATGTCCTGGCAAAGTGCCGGAGCCTGCTTTTTGAGAAGCCGAGTCGCAGGTGCCTCGGAACCGAGTCGGTTGCCGGGAGCCCAGCCTTGTCACGGACGATTATCATTGCGGGAGAGTCGATGGTGAGTTCGTGTTTGTGTGAGGTCCAGCTGGCCTCAACCTCTGCTTTCTTGCCAAAACCTGAGCGCTTGCTTGGACTATTGCAGTGCATCAGAAGTGCTGAAGTGGAGCTTGCCAGGTCGCGGAGACTCAGCGACTCTCCTTCGCCATCTTTGCTGCAGCGCCGCTCGGCGAGACACGGCAGATGTTGCTAATTTTCCATCGGACTCTCCATGGAATAATTACCGACAAAGGACTTTTGCTATAATATGAGATAGGGTATCAAGACATGGTGTGAGCATCTTGATGCAACCCCAACAAGCAATGCAAGAACCAACCAACCACTTCAATCTCCATTCACTTGCTGTTGCGTTTATGCGTGTGTAGGCCAAAAGGTTTTGTTGAAGTCGTGATGGCAACTTAGACGCAAAGCAGCCTCGCCCAGGTTACGCAGAAGAGCTCCTGCGAGATTGCTCCGGTGCCCTGATGGAGAAATGATGTCAAGCGGATGTCTTGTCAGTTCGCTGCACCGATCTCGCATCTAGGCATGAAAAATAGCTCTCCGAGACGCCATCGAGGTCAAGCAACTCTGCGGAAATTCATCGTGAGACTGAGGCTGCGCCGCCTTCCCTTGTGCCGTTGTCGACGCGCAGGCTTTGACAGGCCATGGCCAGGCCCCTGGCGACGATGCGATGCTTAGTCCTCCTCGCAGCGCCGGATGGTGAGAAAAGCGGACGTGTTTCGAAGCGAAGTCCCACAAGCCTCATTGCGAAGAATGGGTCAGGCTTTGTCGGCCGAAAGAGCGGCCACGTTTGGAACAAATCTTAGAATTACAGGAAGCGCAAAGATCCTCAAAGCGTGCCCAAGTTGTTCAAACCCCTCAGCCTCACGTGAGCGGCCGTCAATGTTATGGAAGAGGAGAGCATTAGTGGGATAAACAAATCGAGGTTTGATCTGCCGAACGATAGGGGGCACACAGAAAACGATGCAGAAGTTATGGACCGGTTATGGGTGTGGGTTTCGGACTCAACCTCCGGAACCTCAGGAAGAGCTAAGCATGACTACAGAGGACACTACCACCACTGCTGCTGCTGCTGCTGCTAGACTGCAAATGTAATCATTAGCCACGCTGCTGCTGCTGCTGCTGCTGCCAGTGCTATTGCTGCTACTATGGTATTGCAAGGTTCTCCTGCTGCTGTTACAACTACTGCTTCCGAGGCTCTTGGTGCTGCTGCTGCTGCTGCTGTTGCTGCTGCTGGTTGCGCAACCTGTCCCTGCCCCTCCGGCTACCGCTACCGCTACTGCTACCGCTGCTGCTCCTACTAAATGTTTGCAGGTCAGGCAAGACCGAAAATCGCCCGAAAGTTGAAATTACGAAAACCGGACCCTGTATCCAGACAGTGGCAAACCTAAAGGCTGAAGTCTCAGCCGTTCGTGGCTGGGACAGAAACCAAAAGGATAGCCTGCGTGGTTGAGGTTGTCGAAGTCGCAGTTGCCCTGACCGCAATTATCGTGTCAGGTCCGTCGTGTGCTAACATTGCATGGCCTAGCTGCTTCAAAAAATGTCTCGCAGTCTCAAAAGGATCCACGACGAGAACTGCATGACCCGGCCAGATATGGTCTGTTTGAGACACATAATTAGTCTGCCCAGGTCCCCTCGACATGCTTCGGGCATTGGCAGCGGCAGGCGCTGGGCGGCAAAGCTGCGAGGTCGACTGGCAGACCTGAAGACCTTGCTGCGTGTGATGCTAGCAGTTATCAGTAATGTAATGCCCCAAAGTCACAGGTGCTTGGCCTTGCATTCGTCTTGACGACCGGTCGAGAACGTCAAGGTACTTTTCGATTCCGTTGCCCTCGTGTTTCAGCCTGGTTCGCAAGGCTGAAGGTATCCCAGAGTTAAGCCTTCAGATTTAGGCTTAGGCTTGAGAGCAGAAGTTGAGGGTTGATAGGTGCACCTGACCTCGCTGGTCTGTTTTTGGATGCCGTGTTCCGCCGAGGCCTCAGGACTTCAAAGGGTCCCGCAGCATCCTTCTAAGTCTAGTTTTCGATATTTCAATACACTTTAGCCTGGCTGTTAGGAGATAACCTAATCTCTTGGCTTTCGGACATGCGCGCCCGTTCGGTAGGCGGGACTGGTAGGCGTTCTGTGCCGTGCGCTCAAGTACCAGCGAAGGTTGGGAGCTGCTGCGCTTGCGATGCCCAGTTGGCCAGTGCAAGGCCAGCTAAGTGTGAAGCAGCACGCAATACAACAGACAGTATGCTTCCTTGCTGTTGGGTCCGGAGGCCCGTGTTAACACACCACATATTCCGGCATATTCTGGCATTGGGTTGTGCACTCCCAGTTTTCTCGTCGAGGGGAGTGAAGCTGTGAATTAGCACCTGAACAGCGTCCTTTTCCCGACAGCTGCAGCCACCGAGCTTTGCAAAAAGAAGCCAAGCGCCGTTGCATGCCTTTGCTTCGACCTGCAGCTGTTATCCACTTCCTCCAGTCGACCTGTCTCTCTTTGGGTGAACCGCAGCCAAACGAGTTTCATGCCAACACGGCAGACACCAAAATACTGGCGAGTGCTCCACGCGAGGTCGAACAACTGCCTCCGCCCAGGCCCTAAGCCCTAAGCGAAAGACAGAGAAGGCGTGGCCACGTAATGTCAAGGAGCATGTAATGAGCCTAGTGAGAGAAGGAGTTGCAGGAAAAAGGAATAAAAAGGACATCGAAGCATTTTTCGATTTGCAAGGGCACAGGCGAGGGGAGGCCTGCAAGAAGCAGACTTGCGGCACAATGTACACATTCTTGGGCCACTTGGGCACATGCGAATTAGTTGACTGGGGCTTGAGGAAACCTTCTAACATGCTTCCAGTTATCAATGCCGCACGCAGACGGAGCATCATTCACGTTACCCAAGTTTCCCCATGAGCATCTCGCCCGGTGACTTGGCTAACTTAGCAGGCCAGACAGGCAGTCGACATGCTGTTGACGGCACTGCCATGTTCTCAGCAGCTGCCCCGTTTTTTTCGTGGACTGCTTCTCTGCTGCTGCATATTTAGATTGGACATCAACCTGGACACTGGCTGCAAGCTCGCGGGCATCATAAGTGAGGCCCCACGGTAGTCAGGTCATGTTTTGAAGTGCATGCACTAGAACTCTATCAGATTATCAGTGATCTTTGTTTATAGGCCGTCCAGCAAGCAGAAATCGACCTAGATGCCCTCGTGGAGATGCACACCAATGCATTGCCACGATCTCGGCAGTCGAAAACTTTTATTATTCTGACTGTTTTGAGGAAGCAGTGTCTTGGTGCAGAAGTGAGATCTGTAGGCTCTGGCGATACGAGGCCGACAGATTTGATCTGGCCACTTTCAACCTTGTGTTTGCCAGCTTGGTGGAGGCCGTTGCGAGACGAAGGTCAGCTGCAGAGTTCATTCGAGCTCGAGCGACCGCAAGCAGGCAGACTGCTGGGCGTGCTCCCCCCTGATTCCATGATTCTGTTCAGACGTGGCCGTCCGTGGCCGTCAGGCCTCGCTCGCGTGACAGCTTACCCAGCTCCGCACCCAGAGCATGTGGCAAACTTCAGTGGAGTTCCGGTTCTGAGCAGGCGAAACCGCCAACAAAGATCTCGAACGGTTAGAAGCATCGATGTCCTCCCTGGATGAGACCATCCGCGGGTATGACAAGGCCAGACTTCCGCACCGGTTTCAGTTGGAGATGGAGACTGGAGGAGACAGACCAAGACTTCGTTCCTGCCCTGCAGGAGGGTTACACACTGGTTTGCCCACAACTGGTGGTGCTCTTGGTGTGCAGATCCTGCCGCGTCCCCTAAGCAGAATTTCGCTTGCCCAGGTCGGCTTCAAGTGCATGCGGAGGACCGTGCAAGTCAACAAGATGTTGAAACGAAATGATGGTCATGATGGTCCTCCCAGGACAGAGCTTCCGAGTGGGCATTGGTGGGTGCTGGCACTCAGTCTCACGCTTGGGGATGGTTGGCAGTAGGATTTTGCCGAGACAGCCTGGCCTGGCCACCTGACCCGCTTGCAGTTTGCAGGTGCGTTTGGACGGCCCTTTGATGGGACGTCCTGCTTTGGCACCTGCTTCTGGAGCCCTTGCTTTGGCCCTATGTGCTTGAGCCGGACGACTGGTGGATGCTCCGAGTCTGACCGGATTGCACACGCTACGTGAGTGCAACTCGGGCAAGGTGTTTTGGCAACTTCTGCGAGACTCAACACCGCAAGGAAGTACGGTACCGCCTTCGTTGCCAAGACACTTCCTGATAATGTCACTAGCACCTGGACGGGTGCGGCAACGTGGTGCCCGACCAGGTGAAAAGGGGAGATGTGAGCGAATCTGATTATTGTCACGAGCTTTCGTCGGGCTGTACTCAACGATGACGAAGGTTTGTTAGGCTATTGAAAACATGTCATCCGCACAGCTCCTCCAAACTCGGGTAGGACAGCAAGAACCATTCTTGTGAAAACCCAAGTGCGGAGCAGTGGCTTCATGGATATCCTCCCAAAGACAAGCCAGCACAGGCATCGGTGTCACAGAGTAGTGGAGCTGACAGCGAGTATGTTTCTGGCATGTGCCGGCTTGCTGACGTTCCAAGGGCGAAACTCATCCGTTTTTAAAGATGATTTTTGGCCGATCTTGCATGAAGAATCCGTGCGAGGCTCATGTACATAGCACAGTGGTTCGGGAGGTGTGCAGCTGTTGCACCCGGCATGGCAACTAGAGTAAGCAACGAATTGGATCGATACTCGTAGGGTATTGCATGCCGGCATCAACATTGCCCGCTTAAGGGCTGCATGATCTGTCCTACCCCCACAAGAGCTCACGGCTTAATTACGCGACACAAAACCTCCGCGCATCGCTTTTCAACTGATATCCACTGACCATTTGTGCTGGCGGTGTTTTGTCTTGAGTTCAAACTGGTCGCCTTTTACCGTGACTGACAAGATTGTTGGCTTTCCCTTGATTATCAAAGGCTTGTTTCTGAAGGAGAACATCACACGGCTATTATTAGTCGCCCTCAGCTGAATTTTGAAGTGCTGCCTCATGCACTGGGCGCTGTTACCACAAAACAAGTTCTCGACTACGTAAAATAGTAGTACTGACAGGCGCTTGCCAAAGTGCGAGCATTCTTCAAAGCAGCTTGCTTTAGGTTTAGGGTTCTTAGGGTGTGGAGCTCGCCATGGGCTTCGGCACTGGAGTGAAACCCGGCATGGACTGAAGACATGGCCGAAGAGCAGCAAGCCGCTGGCAGGTGCGAGGAGACGAGCATGTGAAAGCCTGACCCTGTGGGCCGCTACCGTAACTACCACCCCTACCGCTGAAACACAAAATCAAACCTGAAACCTTTTGCCTGAGACCCGAAGCAGAAGAGTGCTGAGAGCTGGAAAGTTCAGTCAGCTTGTGACTCTGCAGGCGAGGAGTACTTACAGAATAACGTATGTCGCTTTCTTGCCAGTAGTTTTCATATTGTTGGTATCATTGGTACGAAAATCTACTATGGACTATCTCGGTTAGTCTTCTTCATGATTATGGTAGGGCTCCAGATGTGACTGGGTGAGTCAGAGTGATGAAGACTCGATGTGTGTAATGTATATAGTCATCATGCAAAAATCGATTCTGAACGTAGTTTCGCAGAAGCCGAGCTGTGCACGGGACTCCAGTCTCCGTCAACGCTTAACCCAGGCCAGGATTCCGTAAGCAAAACACAAATCCGCCCAGACCCTGAACTCTAGAACTCGACGCGGCCCTCACAAGTCAAAGAGAAGATCCGTGGCCAGGGCTGCCTCAGAGCTGGCTTCCGTCCTGAGCCGACGTCGTCAGGAGGTCGACACCAAGGGCGCTTTCTTCACAAAGGACCGAAAAGGCCGGAGCCGGAGTTGATCAATGAGAAATCTTGCTCTTCTTTGCCAGTCGTTTCGATGGTGACGGCTTCGATTGTCGGGTTGTGAGCATTTGCGAGTGACACATCTGAGATCGTGACATGCGACGGCATTGTCCCTGAGGCCATGCCGACGCAGTCTGGAACGAGCGGACGGACTCGCAGTTCAGCCCTCGATCCTCGGAGAGGAAGTCCGCCATCGCACGCCTACAGGGAGCGAGCGTCTCCCCGTATGCATCAAGGGAGGCATCTCCTGCCCCGCAGGAAACTGACAGACCTAAAGTTCTTCGGCGGATGTCGGCTGATGCCACGATGACGGCACCGAACGCCTTGTTAGAGGACCGGGCGCGACGAAGTTTTGCACCCCGCAGGGCGTCAACGGGACCAGTGCTCAAAGCACCGATCCAGCGATTGGGCTCTGCGAGATCAGCATCACCAACTGTGGCGCCGAGTACCACGAGTGCATCACCACCCAGGACTCAACGACCTCCAAAAGCGAAAGCCAAAGCGACACCGAGGCGTTCTGCAAGTGCTGTAACCGAGGCGGCTTTGCCGTCTTCACGCCCACCACAGCAAAGTCCAGGGCCAGTGCGAACTTCAGCTTCAGCGGCATTCCGGACTGCGTCCGCTACAGAGCCCGACCTCTCGAGACATTCTGCAAGAGTTCTCGCCGATCATGGAGCAGTGGCTGACAACATCGCCAAGTTCGAGGTCACCCAGAAGGCTCCAGAGAGTGCAGATTCAGGCAAACTTTGCCCCAAGCCCAAGGTAAGCGGCGATCCCCGCGTCGACTCGAGCACTCCAAGCGAGGAGACCGAGGAGGCTATTACGGTTGGCGGTGGCGGCGGTGAAGGTGGCGGTTCAGCCTCGGCCTCAAGTCGCCACAATGCGAACGAATCGAGGCCTGTCACAAAGCCTGCCACAAAGCCGGCTAGCAAGCCTAAAGCGGCGAGCAAGTTGGTGTGCAAGCCGAAAGGCAAAGCGACACCAAGTGCGGGTGAAGATCCACCACACAGGGAACCCTTGCAGGATTCACCCAGGAAAGCCGTGCAACTACCGCGAGAAGCTGTTGAAAAGGCTTGCGGGACTTATGCAAGCAGCTTGAATGCTCAGTGCTGTGTGCCGCGTCAGGATACCTCCTTGTCATCCTCGCTACCACAGGATCTGCAGCTTGGGAGCAAGGAGCCGTAGCTGTGCGGGCAGACAATGAAATGCACGAAATGCCTATGCCAGGCCAACGTGTTCGTAAAGGAAGCCAAATTCAACGTAAGAAGAAACATGTTTGGGCAGGAGGCATCAAAGGCCGGTCCGTCTTCGCCACGGTCGCCATGTTCAGAGTCCAGTGTGGCAACGGCCCGGGCCTGTCATTTTGGGGTCTTTCTACCATTGAGGCGGTAGCATGTTGAGAACGCTGGTGGAAGAGGCCACCAGTGTACCTTGCCTAGGGCCGACGGAATGTCGCGGATTAGCCGACTAGACCAAGCGCCGCAGTCGATCGAGGGGAAAGTTTGGGATGCTAAAAACATCTAAAAACTCCAAGCTGCTTTGTGCATCACATCAAATCATGCTTCTGAATGCGATGCGAGCCCGAGGCGAGTACGATCAGCTGTGAGGCCAGTGACGTCTGACCGTCTGCCCTTGTGCCGTTGATGCCGTTCCGCGCGTTGGTCATGCAAGCAGCCTCGCGCCTCGCCCCTTTTGGCGCCTATATTGCAACTCAGCCGTATCCGAGCTCAAGCACTCAGCGGTGGCGCGTGATTCGTTCCCGTTCGTACCCGGGACCGGGGCATGTTGGCAGCTGACTGTGTGCAAACCTTGCCTCGAGAACCTAGGCAGCTCCAGAGTCAGAGAAGACAGGCTTGTAGTTTTCGTCTTAGCATGCACAGTTCAAGCAATGATGCTTCTGCCCTGGCGCAAGCGCTGGCAGAAATAGCGCAGGACTTTGCATGTCCTGGTTGTAGTTTGTGTCATGTTCACTGAACCAGTCTACACTGGCCGCACGAGGATGATCCGGTTGGAGCTGCCAACTTGTTGGGATTGCCTGCTGACAGATCGTCGTTGGCTGCGACTTCTGCTGGTTATGGCAGTCCACCGAAGGCCCCGCATGCCCAGTAACAACAGCCACCAGCTGGCATGACTGTTGACGGCCCCCCCCCCCACCTATGCCCTGCCGGTTTGCAGAAACATTTTTGGAAGAATGGGTGTAGGCAAGAAAGAAGTCTTCGGAATTTGAAGCGCCGTCACATCCCGTGGTATCATTGAGCGGATAGTACATCAATTTGTGTTAGGGCCAGTTTTTGTAGTGGTCCCGCCAGTGCCTCGTGTGATGCCTTCATCCAGGCATCGGGCTGGCACGTGAAAGAGGGTCACTCGCACCGAGCATGCTACTACATAGGAGGCCTATCCGTATGGTGTCGTGACCAGTGATGAGATACGTACAACTTGCTGGGCCTTGGATTCTTGCTGCCCTGCTGGCGGTGGTGGTGGTGGTGGTGCTGGTGGTGGTCGCACAGTAGCAGTGGCAATAGCAGCAGCGGCGGTGGCATCGGCAGCGGCAGTCGGAGTAGGAGCAGCAGCAGTAGCAGCAGCAGCAGCAGCCTCAGCAGCAGTAGCAGTAGTAGTCGTCGTTGTCTTAGTGCTAGTGGTAGTGAAAGTATGTGATAGTGGTGGTAGTACTAGAGCTGGCCCTGGTACTGGTGCTGGCAGTGGTAGTCGAGTGATCGTCGAAGTGGTAGTCGTAGTCGAAGTGGTACGAGTAGGGGTACTGGCAGTGCTAGTGGTAGTGAGGGTAGTGCAGAATTCGAAGTAGTAGACTTAGAGTGATAATAATGTTGGTAGTAGTTGTAGTAGTCGAGGTAGTCGCAGTCGTAGAAGTCGTCGTCGTGGTCGTAGTCGCAGCAGTCATAGTAGTAGTCGTCGTCGTAGTAGTAGTAGTAGTACTACTACTACTACGACTACTGCTACTACTAGTACTAGTACTAATGCGAGTGCTGGTGCTAGTGCCAGTACTAGTGGTAGAAGTGTAGTAGTGGTGGTAGTAGGCAGCAGCAAAGCAGTCGTAGTCGTGGCGGTAGTAGTGGTAGTTGTGGTGGTAGTAGTAGCAGTAGCAGTAGCAGTCTGTAGCAGTAGCAGTAGCAATAGCAGTAGCGGTAGCAGCAGCAGTAGCAGTAGCAGTAGCAGGAGCAGCAGCAGCAGCAGCAGCAGCAGCAGCAGCAGCAGTAGCAGTCAGTAGCAGTAGTAGTAGTAGTAGTAGTAGTAGTAGTCGTAGCAGCAGCAGGAGTAGAAGTAGTTTTAAACGACCTGAAGCATTCACGTGCAACTTGGCTGCGACCTCTCGCAGACAAAAACCTACTCTAGCGCAAACGAATATCAGTACGGCCCAAAAGCTTTACATCAACAGGGGCGTGCAAAACAGCCAACTCTTGCACAAGCATGTTAAAATCAAACAGGGTGCAGCATTATGCTGCCACGATTTGCCAGGCAGCACCTCAAAGCGTCGCAGATGTGATCGCCGAGTGTGACGATTTCGACGTTGATGTTATCTTCAATGTCGCCGTGGTCGGTAGCAGTGGTACTGGGAAGAGCTGCCTACTTCGGCGTTTTGCACAGGCTTTGGCGGTAAGTTATCAGCTCTGACTCGGGTGTGCACGACTGACTTGGGGTAACGGAATTACCAGCATCTCCTGCACGACTTCAGTACCTAGTTGCTTGCTGAGGGTTAGCAGTGGAGTGCTACAGCAGAAAAGACTGGGCACGGAGGAGGCGACGAGTCGGGGGAGAGGCTTGGTTGGACCCCCAGCCAACTGGCACAACGGAGTCACAACGGCCATGTGGACAGCTTAGCTAGGAGAGAACCGAGTGCTCATGCGCGGGAGGTTTCGGAATGAAGGAACAGCTGGAGGTTCGGGTGAGAAATGAACAGTTTTGATCGATGCGACCACAAGCAGATGCCCTGCAATCTTCAACTCTTGACAGTGTTTCAGCCCGAATCCCGGCAGCTGTGCTCAACAGTAGGCTCGGCATAGCAAACTGTCAGCCAGTTGCCGGTTCGAGTTGAAGGCTCCTGTTGGCATCGAGGTAGGGTTGAATCTCGTTACCCACCCAACCCGGGGAAACTGCAGACAATGGTGTTTCGAGTCACCATGCCAGACAAAAAGCACCAGAGTGTGAAAACCAACGTCCTTGGGTGTCTCAGAGTGTCAGCTGGAGTTTGCAGTGAAATCGCAGTCGCCGTTCTTGCAGGGATCCTTCACGGATGAGCAACTTGGAGCTGCATGTTAAGTTGCTCGGATTTGTGGACAATCGGACTCTTGAGCGTGATCGTTTTGATGGAGCTTAGATGTGGGGGCTCAGCTCATGTGGCTAAATCTACAGAGATTGTCTTTTTCTGTTGGAACATGTATAATCCTAGACCTGCTTGTCACGACACCTTGCCCTGGCCGTGCCGAGCGAAATCCAGACCTTACGCCTCAAATACAGTACTGCTAAACCCGAAAGCATTGGGTTTTCTGTGGAGCTTTTCTAGGTACACTGCATTACAGGCATGCCCTAGCCAGGCTGCATCATGACGACGATCTCTACCATGCAACTGATGCCAGCGTAACACCAAGGTACAGGCGCACATTGGTCACGAGCTTCATCGAAAAGAGGTATCGCATGCCGGGAGGCGACATTACTTTCCATTTGTGGGACACTCCAGGCGGCCGGATGCAGTTTGCTGTCCTTGTGATGGTTAAGCATCCCGAAATTGCCACATTCAGCCGTCACCACGACGAGAAGATACAAGAAGGACAACAGCACCACAACGTTTGCAAATACAGTACGGTCAGTCGAGAGCAATATTCTCAGAATGTATGGTGGTCATGAGTCATGGTTGTGGTTTTGCTGGTGGCGCCGTGATGGTGCCATCGGCAGGGTGTAACTGCCGAGGATTTACGTTGTTGTGGTGTTGGGCCTGCTGGTCTCTAGCGCAGCTAACCGCGAACGAGTATCAGGGTGCACGAGAGTGAAGCAAGATGAAAGAGAAGCTACAAAGCCTTAAGTACTACAGTAATCAGTGCATGTATGCATGAACCACATCAGTAGATCAGTGCGCCGCGACGTGGAACGTGTGAACGCATGCAAGACCGCATTTGGCCTAAGCAAAAACTTTGTCTTGCACAACTTGTAACAGCTTCATCTCTTTTGTTTGGAAGCTTGCTACCGTAATGTTTCAATATCATGCGTCTATTGCCCTGCAAGTCGCTGCCGGCTTCACATAGCAAGCTGTTCGTAGCAACAGCAACTACAGGAAGGCGGTTTGCTGAAGA